GTTCCCCAACACTATGTGTTATTTATAGGTTTACTTGACTGACTTTGAGGAAAAAAAAAACACTCACTGAAAAAATAGTAGGATTATATGCAAATGACCAACATAACAATATATGGAGACTTTGTGGAAGAAAGGGGATGAACTTCCCAATTTTGATTGTTTAAAAATTCAGTTAGAAAAGTCATAAACTTCGCTTCCTCCTCTGCTGCTTCTGTCCAGGAAAAATTATTTTGATGTTTCTGTTGAGATCAGTATTCATTTAGAAAGCAGTATGGTTGCTTTCTAAAAGAAACTCTTATTTAGTATCCCCTCTCCATGTTACCTTTCTCACCTAATTAGAAGTTAATGCTACTAGTGCCTTGTTAATCACACTGAGATTTCAGGATAAAAATGCTTCACAGGCAGCAGGAGGAGGCAGGTGATGAAGCCAATATTTGGAGTTTGGTTTTGCTTCAGAGAAGCATTTGAACTCCTCGTCGACCCAGTAGGACCATTCCTATAGTTGGAGAAATTGGGAATATTAGGCATATTTTGCTACACTTCTTCACTCTTGATACAAAGTCAAGGCCTTTTTTTTTTGGAAAGCCTTGAAGAACTGGACAGGCCATGGTGGACTCTGCAGCACTAGGCTTTGCTCTGTAGCTCTTCACACTGTAAATGATTTATCTTTCCAGGAGATCGCCTTGGAAGTATTCTTCAAAAATGGTTACTCCAGATTTCTTGTCTTCCATGACAGTGACCGAAATAAGATATTTAAGAGGTAATCACTACTTCATAATAACATGTGAACACCCAGGTGACACTCCTCGTCTATGTTCCTAATTATTCTGGCTTCAGTTGTTTGTCTTCTGCTGCTCCAGTGGCTTTTTTTTTTTTTTTTTTAAATTGCAGCTCCTTGGTCTTTAACCGGTTACACTTAAGCAAAGCTACGAAATTTTCCTTTTGCTGACCTGTGAATTCTTTAGAGCATTATATAACCATTGATTTATCAAGGGAGCTAATGCATGTGTAGGACTCTTCTAGCACTCAGTGTTGTATGTCTCTGTATCCCAGGAAATTGCAGTTGTAACTGTGCTGCTTCTTCACACTGAGCACCACCTCCATCTCACCTCACAGTACTGGGTGAAAGAAGGTTTCTTATTGCTCTATTCCAACACATGAAGTGTCATTAGATTCTTTACAAATAAAATGTTTTTGTCTCTCTGACTTTTATCTTTGGTGTGGAGTTAACTTTTTAACAATGGCATTTTTGTTTTGAAAAGATTTCTTCTTATGTGTTTGTCCTGTTTGATGAAACTTTAATGTAACACTATGTAATGATGAATTTTTTTTTCTTTCTTTTTTCTTTTCCTGCTGCAGTTCTAGACCTTGCATCAGGTTTACTTTCACTGTCCTTTATGAAGGAAAAATACCTCACTACATAGTACTTCCTGTGGTAAATTCTGCAGCCTGATATGAGGATTGGTACTATTAATTTCTAAACAATCATAGTAGTTCCTTTTGCTCCTGAAATCTCTGAACAGTTTCTAATGGAGTATTGCTTAAAAAGTTGATGCGAATTTATCTACTCTTCCTCTCTAAACTTGCTGCATAGTGTTACTAGTTAGAATCACCAGGTTCTGCACCAGAACCAGCTGCTTTGTTTAGCCCTTACCTTTGCTGTGTCTCAGCTCTGACAAACATCTCTTGGGGAAATCTTTCAGAGGCAGTTCAAGATAAGGTTTTGATCCTCAGCTGCCTGATTGCCACTCAGGTGAAGATTACCAAACCTAGGTATTTCAGTGGTTTAGTATGTCTGACATCATAGGCCCCCAGGGTAAGTAAATAGGAATGGCTGAGATCTGGGTTGGTATTCCTTTCTGCCATTTTTGCTAGATAAACGACTAAGTGGCTTCTCATTCTCTGGCTTTAATTAATGGAACCTTAAACCACCTGATCATAAGTTCATAGCCCTATATATAATTTCAAGGACCTGTTTGGGAAGGAAACCCACAAGCAACTCCTTAATATTTAAAATACACTTCTGCTGTGTTGTCTTACAGCTTTGTCCTAGGTCAGAGTCTCAGTGAAATGATGTGGCATCCTTCAGGAAGAAAGTTGCTGTCAGGACATGATATAGATTCTATAAATATGTAATACATACAGATAACCATTTAAATAATTATAATTTGACCTTTCATATCTCCTATAGATTTTGCTTTTTCCAACCTGCTTTGAAGCCAAAGGGGATAACAGAAGAGTCCTTGAATATAAGGTAAAACATAGGAAACACTGGATAACTGTAGATAAGTGCAACTGTGTGAATAAGTTCACCTTATATAAGTTTCTAAATTATTTTTTTTTTAATTTGTCCCCTATTTTAAAGATTCAGAGGTGTCCTCAGAACTCCAAAAAGCACTCTAGTGTACAGCATCCACAGTATGGAGACATGAAGAACATGTTAAGTAGCTGACTGTGCATAGTTGATTAATAATTATTACCTCCTTAATACGACTTTATCGGCAAACTCTACACAGATGGTTAGTGTGGGAAGGAGACAGTCAGTGAGGTGAGGTTAGAGCTCATCCATAATGCTTCTGCGTAATGTCCTCTTTATTGCATGGTTAGGGCAGACAGCAAAAGATGTACACGCGGATGTTTTGGCGTATTATAGTAACTGCCATGAAGTTTCCAACTTCTTGTCTCTCAGATTTAGAACTGCAGGAAAAAAAGTTTTCTCCTAGTGAGAGGTGACTGAGAGCATGTTCCATGCTGACCTTGAGTTACTTGCATACCCGTAACTTCTCAATTTGGATACCTGAGGAACACAGCCCTAAGTGCCTAATCGGTGTCCTCTGAAATGATTGCCTGGAGACTGGAATACTGTTGAGAACTGAGGGGCAGATTGCCCCTATGAGTTGTGGCCTGTGTCAGCTGTATTCTTCTTTTTAATTTTCACTCTACCTGTTGTAGATTATTACCTATCTTGTAAGTGAACATTTTCACCCCTGAGTACCAGCCATCAGCTTGCAAAAAGTATCAGTGCAGTATGGAGTCAGCTCTCGCTAGAGCCTAACCTTATGTCAGAGGTGATGGTTGGCTCTATGAAGCATGATGTGTGGAGCAACCAATAACTTACCCTAAGGTTTCCTTTCCTTGTGCTGGCTGGGGGCCTCAACAGGTGGGAATGTCTTGAGATAAGATGCACTGTGGCTGCAGGAACTTTGGGCTTTAACTGGGCTTGTGATTATTTTGAGAAACACTTAACTCATGTTTTGTATCAGAGATTGAAGCAGGTCTGAAGTAGCCTATCCTGAATCCTGTAACACTCTACCTTCAGTTTTACTGCATTGGCTGAGAGAGGTCTCTGAGAATGTGAGGGGCCTTTGGCACAGCTTTGGCTGGACCATGTTAGAGCATAAGCTGAAATAAAATAAACATAAGATAGTGCTACCGCCTAAGTCATGATCCCAGAAAAGCTGTGCTTAACTGGGAAGTTAGAGAAAATGTCCCAGTGGGCATGCTTCCCTTTACCAAGCTCCAGTCTCGGAACTGAAGGACTGAGGACCTGATGATTTTACTTTTCCCTTGTTTGAATTCTGGAGCCACTTCTGAGTTAAAAAAATTGAAGAGCAGCACAAGGGGCTTCTTCCTCATCTAGGGGACGGTGGTCATCTTCTATAACATCCCATCTTTTCCTGCCCTACCTGAGAGAGGGAGGCAGGCCAGACTAAGCTCTTTGCCCAGACACACTATTAATAATTGCACAGCTGAAGCATGGAAAGAAGAAATTGCAAGTTTGATGTAATATGTTGTTGAGGTAGTAGCATTTCTGAGAAAACCCCATATCAGTTTTTCCACCTAGTCCATAGGAATAATACACAGGAGTTCTAACTACTCTTACTGTAGTTAGCTCTACTGTAGCCATTTAAAAATTATAATTATAATGGGCTGTTTCTGAGTACTTTTTCCCTGGAACTTTATTCTTCGTTTAAATATACTTAAATGTTTGCTATCACCATATGGCCACAGCCAGCACCTTTTCTTGTGTCATGCTTAACTGCCTTTTATAATCTGCTCATTGTTTGTACCTGTATATTGCTGTTTGCAGGCTGTCAGCAATCTCTGCTCTAGGGATGTGATTTGGACAAGTGAATGTGTGTGCTCAGGTGTACACATGCTTGCACACATGTGGAGAAAGCTAAAAGTACTGTGGGGACATCAGACCTGATTTCATCAGTTCACTGTCTGACTCTTGGATCGTGGAACAGAGTGACTCTTTCTCTCTTCGTCACTGCTTAAGTGATAAGCCCAGGACCCTTAAGAGCAACCTTTTCCCTACCTCTTCTCCCTTCTGTACCTTCCTTGGAGGGAGACTCAGAGTCATACAAAACACGAGTGTAGGTAGTGGTGCTGATTGTGTTGTGCAAGTTAAGAGATCACCCAGGTATAGCACCCAAAATTCCAGAGAACTCGCTTAAGCAGAGTCTGGCCTCTTGGTGGCAAATAGGATCACTAGTTGTTTAGCTCTAAGCATTGTGTTTGCAGTTACTCCTGAGCCATAACATTTGTGTCTGCTGCCTCTGCTGAATTGGAATGGGCTCATGATTCCTACACTGACAGTGGCTATCTGAGGTTCTCTGAGGGGTTAGTGGCAGCCACCAGCAGCAGAAGGTTCCCAGATCTGTTCCTTTTCTTCCAAATGGTATTTACTGAGACTAGTTTAACTGTGTTTCACCCTATTAAAATGAACAGAACTAATGTTTGGGGCTCAGTGGTGGGAGTGGAGTTACTAGAAAAACCTCTGGTTTTGAAGATTCCTTCACTGGACACATGCACATACAAAGGACCAAACCAAACCCAAACATGGAGAACAAGTTGTACGAACAGGCCCAGATGGAAATAGTAATTCTTTCCCCAAATATACCTCTTCTGTTTTACATCTGTTTTAGTTGTTTGGGATTTTGAATTAGAGACCACACAGATGTGCTGCTTCTAAAATGAGTAGGTAGGTGTTTAAAGGAAGAGAACATCAGGTAAAGGGAGAAGGAAGGAGGTCACAGCTTTTTATTAGCTTGGTCTGAATCTCATGGGACATGGCCTGTGGAGTGCCTTGTTATATTTCAGGGATTTTTCTCTCTTAATCTCCATTCTTCTTGGTTATCCTTTGCAAAGGAATTGGGTGTAAGGAGTAAAGGGAAACTTGGCTTTTTGGAGGAGCTAGGTGTCCCATTCTTTAACTTGTTCAGGTTGTCCCTCTTATCCTGACACACCTTCAGGCAGGAACAGCACAGGTCTTTCTCTTGTACTAAGTAAAGTGTTTGTATGCGTTTAATGGAGTCAGCATGCTCGCTCTTTGTTGAATCTGGGAAAGGATTTCTTTCTGCATTCAGTTTCTTGAGCTTGGGGAGCTTTTTCACACTGTTTGGGATGGTGGTCAGGGTGTTATCAAAGAGACCTATCTCTGTAAGTTCCTTCAGGGCCCCAAGACTGGTGGGAATACTGTCAAGACAGTTCAAGCCAAGGTTGAGAATACGCAGGTTCTTGAGAAGGTTTATTTCTTCTGGCAGATTTTTGGTAGTCAGCTTGTTGTTGCATATGTTCAGGTAGAAAAGGTTCTGAAGATTACCTATTGCCCGAGGCAGCTCCTCAAGCTGATTACTATGCAGGTCCAGCCAGCGCAGTTTCTGAAAATTCTGGATGCTGCTTGGAATCTTTTTTATCATGTTTCTGCTCAAATCAAGCTCATCTATGTCAGTCAGTTTCAGAATGCACTTGGGAAAGGTGGTGATACCCATCTTGCTTAAATCAAGACGGCGCCCACCATCAGAAGATATCCGAATGGAATTTTTGGCAATTTTCATGGTGATCTTCTTCCCTTTTTGATCTTTTGCTTTTCCCTTGACCATCTCTCCACTGAGAGACGGACAGACACACCAGAATCTGTGGATAAAGCATGGGAACTCCAGTAAAGCCTTTGAAAGCAGTGGCTATTAGTCCCTAATTAAAAACAAAACAATCACATAGTTATAAATGTGACTGCTGGACTCTTCAGATGTCTTTTTTTAAGGTCAGGACTTTTGAATCCTGAAGCTGCAACTCTGAGAGTTCTATCTGAAAGTGTTTTGATTAGATGAAATTCTAATAATTTACAATATTGTTTTATTGCATTGTAACACCTATATTGCATTACAGAGTGAAATTACAAGTGGGAGAAATTTGCTGTCTTTCATCCCTAGATACTGATTTGAGCTCAGCATGTAATGAAACTGAATGAAATGTGTTGTTATCCATGAGCTGTTGGAGGACCTGAGCAAAACATGTTGTGTGTCTCAATCCAGTCTTTAAGGACTGCACTGAAAGAAACTATCCAAAACTGCACTTATTCTCCCAGGACAAGAAGTTACCTTATTTACAGGCCTGCCATCTGTTGTCAGCTTGGTTAACCCTGTTTACTGGACCTGAATGTGGGCTGCGGATGTTACTGAAAGATTAAATATTTAAAGCAAATGATTAAGTCTTCTTTTAACCAGGACTTCAGGAACATAGTGGGCTCCCAGATTTGTCAGGATGGCTTGCAGTTCATGCATCACCTGCAGGGCAGACTGCAAGAGGGGGTCTGTGTCAGTACTGCTCAATGACCAGGACTTGCTAAGTCTCTCCTGTGCTTTCAAGGACAGACTCTGGATACTCTAACCTTGTCCTACCATCCATGCTGTGGGATAGATGAACTCCCACTGTGAAGGTGCCCTGCCCTCAAAATAATGCATGTAGATGTTCTGGTCAGACTTTTGACTCATACTGATGCTCAGCATGTGTTAAATCCTTTGTTGAATTGAGGCCTGTATGAGTGGTAGCCTGCTGTAGTCTCAGGTTTGGTGAAATACCTCTCTAATTGAAGGTCATCAAATACAGCTGCTAATTATGGCTAGTGACAAAGGAAATAGGCTGATTTCCTGGAAATGGATGACAATGTCCCTCTCAGCCAAAGCGCATTATGGGTTACAGCTGGCTAATCTCAGGATGGTCTGGGTGCTCTGGCATTTAATTGTGAAGAGTCAAATCGCAGCTTTGATAAATGATTGGGACAAAATATGGATTTGTCTACAATACATTTCCCTATTAGAAAGGCTTCATTACAAACCCTTCAGGCTTTTTGGCTGCTCATTAATCATGTGCAAATACATGAAGGGGAAGCTCAGTCTACAACTAAGGCATTTTAGTTATCTTTCAATTACATGCCATAGCCAAAAATAATGCAAAAGCAAGGCCAGTTACCACCCACCCTCTCAGGAGCTCTGTAATGAGACAGATGCTTCAGAAAATCCTGGAAGCAGCACAGTAGGAACAGACTTGCCCTGAGGACATGTTCCAAAATCAAATCTTTGTTGTTTTACATAAAAATATATAAACACAGTTGAGTATTTCTTTGTCTGTTACTCCCCTGTTTCTGTCTCTCACCTGTACTTACAGGGCCATATTACCATTGTATCTGAAGGCCTCTCACTCTATTGTATTTAACCTCACAGTGCCCCAGGGGCAATATCAATGCTGTTCTTTCTATAGTGTAGACTGCACTTTTTCCACCTTTGCTGATGTTAACTTAAATAATTTGCTCAGGAGTGAGTAGAAAGTTCTGGAGATCAAAACAACAGGTTTTTCTTAATCACAGTTCACTCATTTTAAGGATTTGATGTAATCAAATTTTTGACAATTCTGTGAAGGTAAACTTCAGCTGCTTGGGAAATGCCAGAGCCCTACTGCTGGCACAGGACACCCTGAGTCCCTTACTGGTGCACAGAAGGTGACTGCCATGCTTTAGAGAAAGATCTGCAGGGAATATTCCTTACACTTTGGATGGATGGAAATAGACTTTCTCCTTCCTGCAATTGATGTGAACCTGGTTACTTTTGGATCCAAATTTATCCTTGTTTGAATTTTGTGTTGGGTGAGTCGACCAAAACACTCAGTACATTTTGATCAGTGAATCTTTTCAGCCAAGTATGCCTTAAAAAAAAATGAGATGGAGCCTCAAGGAAAAAAAAATATATTTTTTTTCTAAATTCAAAATGACAATTTATTTTAAAATACTTTTAAAAACATCTTTAAAACTCTCGGAAATAAAACGTTTTGTCCAGTTCCTAGTATATTTTTCTATTACTTTTCATTTAAAATCCAAAAGGGAACACTGATCCAGAACAGTTTCCTTTCTTAAAAATACCATCTAGTTAATGCTGGTTCGTGGTGCTGGTGTCCCCCCGTGCTGTGCGTGCCTGGGAGCACTAGAGGGAGCCTGGTGTACAAGGTTAAGCGCTGGAGGCTTGTATGAGTATAGTTTAACCTTTTGGATTTGGGTACTTCTCTGTCAATAACCCTTGACAACTTATTACAAAGTTTGAACCTGGACCTTTCAGATTTTTAAGAAGTCCAAACAGATCAGTGTCATTTTCCTGAAGACAGATCTTTCTGTATGATGCACTGGATAATGCCCAGACTTCAAAGGGATTTAACTGCCTTGTTTTGTCAGAATTTTTAAAATGCTACTGTGGACCTCTAAGATGCACTGATCAGGAAAGCATGAGTCCCTAGGAAGTGATCATGCTTTACAGTTACTATTTCCTTTGGCTTAAAAGTTGGAGCCATGTTTCAAATTTACAAAAAGGTGATTTGCAGTCCCAAAGATAGGGATTAGCATTAGAGGTCTGCAGAAACACCTCAGCACCAGACAGCTTGAAGGGGATGAATAGCCCTCTTGTCTCTGCATGCTTGTAAACTAATTATCAGTGTTTCACAGGGCTGTAGCTGGAGATAATGGAGTTTACTTAGCCATGTCTCATTTTCTTTAGCTCTGCATAAGAGGGCTCCAGTTCTGTAGCCATTGATGTTAAAAATTCAGGAATCATGGGAGCCCTCCTTGCTGTAAATGTTAATTATGCCTGTTCGATCTCATGCTCACAGTGGATGGGATAGCAGAGGGAGAGGTACATGTGTTAACCCTATTACCTAAGAAATTATGATAAGAGGGAACTTTCTTTATTCATTTTCTCTAAACCCTCATCATTGCCAGGCTCACCCTGAGATGCTGGAAAACCTTTGCCCATGGGCAGGGGTGCTGCATTTCTCTGTGACAAAGTCTTGCTAAAGAGAACCTTGACTAGAAAACTCTTTCCCTTTTTACCCACACTTAGTGAAATCTTTGGTCTGGTTTAGGCTTTTGAAAGCCCAGGGCTAACCCCAGAGCTTTTAGGAGCGTTTCACAGGCCCAGAGCTTTGGGCTGACCTGATACAGAGATGAATAGAAAATGTGTGTCAAGTGCATCATGGTATCTGTGGTGCTTTGTGTTGCTTGGAGCTGCCGGGAGGGAACAGACCTCGAGCATCAGGATGAGGACTGTCTGTGTCTCTCTGAGGCAAGGAAGGGTTGGATTTTACTCCTCATCTGCAATTAAGCACTTGCACAGGGTCCAGTCATGACCCATTGTAGCATAAGTCATTAGGACATATAAGAAGGAGATCCAGTCCTAGAAGAATACAGATTTGGACCCTGATGATGCAGTCTTTTCTATATGAACCTTTCTTCTTCCTTTCTCAGCATAGGGCTGGCAGGAACAGAACAAACCTTCTGCCTGTGACACTGTCTGGGTGTTTCAGGACCTCCTTCTCTGTGGTTCTGCCTGTTACTTTCCTCCCACAGCTTGCTGCTTCCTACTTCACTGTACCCAAAGCTGCACAGAACCATCTTGATCCCATCTTGAACTAGTCTGTGAGGAGAGTTTCCTTTGTCTTTCCTCCTGGAAGTATGCATATTGCAGAGCAGGCTTGTCAAGCCCAGCAGAGCTACACATGCCCTGCACTTCTCTTGGGGGCAAGAAGGCAGTGAGGTGACATGTTCAAATTCACCCAGGGAATAGCTCTGTGGACATACCTTCATATAAAGCTTAAAACCAGCACCCATAGAGCAAATAATTTTGCACGAAGCCAAGCAGTTCCAGCTAGGGTAGGTTTCTGTTTCCCTGCTTACAAGCCCGTTACCATTTCTTTGTTGTTGGATACGACCTGTTGTGCAAGAGAGATTAATTCACTGACGATCTGAAATGCAGTCTCTTGGTAACAGGCAAGTTTAGCATGAGCAAATAGATAGAGAGAGGTTTCATTCCTCAATTTTCTTACTTTTCAAGATCACTTCAGAGCCACTCTGCTATCATGCAGTGCAAGGTCACTTATAAAACCAAGGCCCACCAAGAATAAACAAAAATACTGGTTTATCTTAACAATTCTGTGAGACTGCCCCCCTGCATAAGATCTTACCGGCTAGCAGCTAGGAAGACTTAGAAGGCAAGGTACTGATGTCACAAGTTGCTTGTTTTTTTCGGTAGTGTGGGATGAGCCTTCGTGGTCTGTTACTGTGCAGTTGTCCTGTGTCTACTCCTCAAGTAATGAGTTAGTCTTTCAGTCTGTAAACAAACTCGTGAGCAGGGAGCACAAGAGAGTTTCCTTTTCCCAGTCCTGCAAATTCTGAATCGTACTTCCTTGACAGAAAATGGCAGCCCTTCAAGAAACTTATGTGTGGGAGTGAGGAGGAGGAGTGGCAAAAAGGACTTCCCCAGCTCCAGGGTCTTTCTATTCAATTCTCCTTCCCCTCTGTGAAACTTCTGTTCCTAAGCAACAGCAGTGCTAGATCCTTGGAGATTATTAGCATAATGCTTGGTTCCATCATGCATATTCAAGCTAGAGGGAAAAGAACCAAACGGCATGCAGTGCCTGGAAACGTTAGATTTCAAATTATGCAGAAAGAAAAAGCATCTCGACCTTGTTAGAAGCAGTTTGTCAGCTTATAATGTTGCCTTAACTGTCCATTTTAGTAATTTGGCTATTTCGTTTTATTTGGCTGTAACACAGTGTGACATACTTGTATTGTGTGTGTTAAAACTCACAACATTTGT